ACTAACCACTGGAGAAATTGGGAGGTAGTGCAAAATGCTTTTTTTTTGCTGCTATTTTAGTATATATTGATCCTTCCTGCTGTTAAAAGTGTTTAAATCATCTATCAACAATGCATTTCTTGCTTATGGTGGTTCTCAGAGCTGCTGAAGGGAACCTGGTGTCTTTTGCTCTGCTTCGTCTTCTGCACTGCTTGCTGTCCAAGTCTAATCCTGTGTCGGTAGCAGCCTACACCGAGATCCAGGCTTTGGCCTCCTGTAGACACCTTAAACTGCAGTCCTTCTTCAACCAGTACAGGAACCCAATTTGCCAGGTCAGTGTGCAGTTTTGATACTGTGATGATGTTATCATTATTTATAATGCTGTGCATTTATGGGGTGTTATATGCATCAACGTGAGTACCAACGTAAGCTGTTTATCACCTTCAAAAAAGCTTAAAAACTATGAGCTAGGAATGGAGAACAGTGTTTGTTTAGGTTAAAAACAAACTAAACTTTGTGGTCAATCAAATTCACCTAGAGTAATAAAATGTAATGGGTCCACCTTTTTGTTTATTGCAGTTCTTGGTGGAGTCTTTGCATTCACGTCATGTGACGGCTCTGCGCTGCACGCCAGATCAGAGCAGCGAGGCTCTGCAGGAGGAGGCGGCCCATCAGAGAGAGCTGGCACTGGACATCCTGTCTCATGTGGCACATGTCTTTGATTTCCCTGACCTTAATCGTTTTCTCAATGTAAGTCCAACATCTCGATATCAGATTCAGCAAGATCAGCCTCTGATGTAACCGAACAGCCTTAAAGGGATAGTCCACCCAAAAATTTCAACATTTATTCACTGTCATGATGTTCCAAACCTGTACGACTGTACGACTATGTGAAACACAAAAGAAGATATTTAAAAAAATGTTGGTAACCAAATGGTTTCGGGTCAAATTGCCTTCCATTGTATGGACAGTTTTTATGTTACTCTGGGTTTTGACAAACCAATGATTGTAGGAAGAAAATAAAGTAACTCATACAGATTTGGAATGACATGACGGTGAGTAAATGATAACAGCATTTTCATTTTATGGCGGACTATCTCTTTAAAGATAGATTAAATCAATTCACTCCTGAATGAAAATTTCCTGATAATTTACTCACCCCCATGTCATCCAAG